AAATCCTGGTGGCGTGACACGGGGGGTGGGATTCTTGTTTTTTTTGCTTGAGAATGCTGCCTTGCCAAGTTAATTACTCCTTCGGAGTTCTTTTATTTGTAAAGCTTTGCTTGTAAAGTTTTTGTTTTTGTTCAATGAAATTTTACTGCATGACGAAAAAAAAAACTGATTATTTTGCTGACGCAAAAAAAAAAAAAAAAAAAAAAAAAAAAGAGAGAGATTTCGAAGCAAATAATCAATTTTTTTCTTTAGCACTCTGCCGAATTAAAATACTCCGTTTTTTGCTTCAAGGCTTTTGCATCGGCTATTTTCTGAAACTAATTTATTTTTGCTGTGGCAGTAAGTTGAAGTTAACTTTTTGCATTGGCGTTTTTTTACTACGCTCCATTTGCAGAAGTAAAGAGTCTTGTTGTCAAAACAAAAACTTTTTGTTTTGGCAAAAACCCATTTTTCTTGCAGTGGATGGGAAATATCATAGAACGACCATCAAGGCCATATGATATGTATTTTTTGGATTTACGTGTCCTGTTTTCCCAGCCATGACATTGAGCTCCAATTTGAGCTTTTACTACAAAAACAAGCCAAGTCAGGTAGAACTTGAACATATGAGCTAGAAATTGAATCAAAATTAGACCACTTTGGTTAGTATTCGTAAACCTCTATTTTTATTGGATCATTTCGAGTTACATAGAAACTTAGAATATAAACTACTGTAATGAAAAAAATGAGTATCAGATTAAAATGGAGTGCATATTTCAAAGATTATTACTATATTTTGCTTGACAAAAGACCGTAGGGAAACCAAAGATCAAAAATATTGTAAGTTGAAATAGTAGCGGCAAAAATTATTGCCCTTAAAACAAATCTTGAGGAGAAACCAAAGATTTTTCAAACCTTTGAACTTAGACAAGATTTTTAGCTATTTTGGCATAATCTGCAGAAAGTAGCTATTTTGGCTACGACATTTTGCTTTTCTTGAATGATTGAAAAAGATTGTGCTAGAGAAAGCACAAGTGCATTTCGTTTTCTTGATTCATGAACCTCGTGTTAAATGCCGAGTGTCTTCTTCAGGTAAGACTAGGATAAACTTGAATATCCTATCTCCTTTGATACCTCTCCAACCACGTAGACTCGTTTGTCATAATGCTTTCGGAAGTTCAAAATGTCCATGATTGCTTCCCCTATCCTAACTTTTTAGATTCATCCCTTCTATGCTATGAAATACTTTAACATGAATTATATAGCCAAAAACACTATTTCCCTTTGACTTCATTGCTTTATTAACGTTTTTTAGAAGGCTGCAAATCAATTGGTAATAACAATTAGTATATTAACTAACCAATTAATCAACTAATCAATTAGTATATCAAATACAAACCGGCTTGATTAAGTTATTTTTAATTATTGTAATATATTATTGAACTGAAAGATCAAGAATAAATGGCCATTATTGAATGCTTTAAGAATACTTGTGTCAATGTTACATACCTGCTTCTTATTTATGCTCCGTTTGGTAGAAAGGATGGAAAGTAGGAGGGCCACACTGTTTATCCTTCAAGAATGAAAAGTAGTAAGGATATATTTTCCTTCCTTTGTGTTGATTGGATGGACGGAAGATAAAAATGACTATTTTTTTTTTGTGCTGGCTAAAATTTGGGGTGACAATCAAGTCGTGTCGTGTCAGATTCGTGTTGAGTCATTACGAGTTTGTGTCAAATATTAGTCAAACCTAACTTAACTCATTTAACTAATTGTGTTGTGTCGAGTTGAGAGTTGACCAGTTTATTTTCGTATCGAGTTCAAACTGTATCATCGTGTTGAGTTGAAAATTTTAGCTCTTATTTAAGATGGAAAAAATATATTTTTTTTAATTTAAAATTTTTATTTTTATTTTTAAATTTTTTATTTTGTTATTTTGTTTTTAAAATTTTTTAAAATATATATATACATATTTTACTATTGTATTTTTATATGAAATTAATGTATACATAATATATATACAAACAAATAAGATACATCTCAAGATAAATAATTAACTTTTCATCCACTTTTTTTTTGATTTTGGAGGGATTGATTTTGGTGAGTTGGAAGAAAAGTTAATCTATCCACTTTTTCATTCTTCTTACTTTCTTTTCTTACCAAATATGATGTTTTATTTATCCTTCTAACTTTTCATCCTTCCAATTTTCTATGTTTCCAGTTTTTCATCGTACCAAAACGAAACATTAAGGTATTTTATGATGGATAAGTTCTCCACGTGGAATAGTCCTATTAGATTATGTATTGATGAGGAGTCCAGAACAATATATTCTATAATTAATATAACAATGATGCAATTGAAAGCAGAATATATTTATCATTACATCTTGACCTGTACGATGGCCACAATTTTAGGGTTGCCAACGTATCTTGCCGTGTAGTTTCATGTTTTGAACCGTCTAAGTTGAGCCTTGTACAAATTTACTCAATATGTATCTAATTTATTAAAGTCTATGTATTGTTTGGTTCATATCATGCGGAGTTTGTGCCATGTATAATCGTGTTTAGTCAAGTTTATTTCCTCATTTATTTGACGAGTCGTTGATGGGTTTATTTTTTTAGCGCACACACCTACAATGGTCAAAACCCAAACCCCATTCATTTCATGGCAATTTTGGCATTATATTCAAGGGTTATATAACGGTTATACCACGTTAGTAGTGTCATATGAGTGATATTGAAAATAAGAAATTAAAAGCAAAATAAGAACAAGAAGAAATACATGGTTCAGTACATTGCCTACATTCAAGGATCCAAATGTCTAATGGTCTACATCGATGTATAATTGATGGCAACTGATTGCATAGAGTTCAACTCTATTTATAAGGTAATAATTACACAAGATATATATAAATCACACATATGCTTATTATAATGATAGACAATTGTATATCTTTGTCCCCAAAGAAAGCAAGCCACCGTCTCTCGCTCAAGTGCTGAGACTGGCTCAAGTGCTGAGACTGAGTATCCTGTTATAGATTCTTCTACCAATAATTTTACTAGGATCACATATCTTCTACGCAAGAATGGTTTTTTATTTGCGTGCAGCTCCTTTTATTTTTTTTTTTGGTGTGTCAATGTCAATGCTCTTGCGATAACAAAAAATCTAATATTTCATGCTCATACCAAGTATATTGAACTGGATTTCCATTTTGTTGAGGAAAAAGTCTCACGGGATTTGCTTACTCCCTGCTTGGTCCCATTGTCTTTGCAACTTGCTGATGTTTTAACTAAAGCTCTCACTAAGACTGCGTTTCAGACATTACAGACTCAAGCTAGGAGTGCTTCCTACACCGCTCTTCAGCTTGCAGGGGAGTGATAAGGCAGATAACCTGATGAATAAGAAGGCTGGTTGCAAGTGTTATCCAAGTGTCATGGCCAGTTGCTAGTGCTATCCAAGTGCCATGACAAATTACTAAGGTGGTAGTCACGCCAAACTAGGACACCTAGGAGACCTATGATGACTAAAGAAGTGTGGGGCCTATGTCGAATCACATTATGAGTATCTTCAAGGAGGAAACGTGAAGGACATATCCATCCATTCGGTTAACCAAGAGTGTTCTCAGGTTAAGGGAAATTACCTCTTGATTTGAGGAAAGTTATTCGTCATACATATTTCGATTACGATTAGTCCATATTATTTTCACGTAATTATCTTCGCACTTAGTGTATTGATTTATGAGCAATACTACATGAACTTAAAAATTAGACTTGATAATCTCAACCATTGATTTCACTGTAGGTTCCAGCATTTATTGAAACCCACTATTTATTCAATAGTTGAGATTATCAAGTCTAATTTTTAAGTCTAGTTTTTAAATCTATGTAGCATTACTCTTGATTTATATATGGAATAAAGAAGCAGAGCTCCATCACATTTTTTATGAGCGCTCCTCCGTTAACCTACTCTTAAACAAGTAAATCCACAAATTGCAATAACCTCCCATTCATATAATGTACACCACACTATGTGAAAAAAGAGGTTTACTTTATTCAGTTTTATATTGAATAATGATATTACGTAGCACTATTAAGTGCTAACGTTGATATAGTATAATCATTACACACAATATTTACTCCAAAAATTGATACGTCTGCACATTTTTTGCATTTTACCTCGATAATTTCTAGTGGGTCAAGTAAAATAAATAGAAGGTCGTGCATTACTCATATTTAAGGGTATTTACCCTATCTTATGGGTAGGTAATATAGTCTTTCATTTTCCTATCCGATATTTTACGTAAAAAAATTTTCTTGACCTAACCTACTTGATCAGGTGTGTAATTCCTATCCGAGTTCTTACCCGATTAATCGGGTAGAAAGTCGGGTAAACACTTTTGTAGTTATTAATTTTTGGATTATTTTAACAATTCAATTAAATAACATTCACCAATTTAACAACACAATAAATCAATAACAATTACAATAAAATATAAGAAAGCATGAACATCAATCTATCATAATTGTTACACAAATATAATAACAATTATTTTAAGTTTAAACCATATAAAACACATTAAAACCATAATTGTTCTAATAGATCACCAGTTCACCACAAATTATATAACCTACAAAAAAAACAAGTACATGTTTTCGCAACTCAAGCATCCACAACAATAATAATGTTATAATATAAATTATACCATATAAATATTTTTATAATTACTAAAAAAAATATAAAAAAGTTAAAAATATTTTTTACGGGTAGGGTAGGGTAGGAATACGAAAATTGATGGGTATTCCGCATTCTTATCCGATTTAATCAGAAGACCAAAAATTCTTCCTCATTTCTATCCGATTTTTACAGCTAGTAGTTTAGTAGAATAAGGTAGGATCGAATAGGATAAAAAATTACGATCAATTGAAAATTTGAACACCCTGCTCGTATTATATATATGCAGCAAATGACAGGGTAAGATACAAGTTCCAAAATAACAGATAGGAGAGTTCAAACTCAGAAAATGGAGTGGATGTCTAGTGTTCGTACCTGGTTGAGTGTTTCTTTCTTAGCTTCTCTTCTTCTACTATTCAGGTGGACAAAGGCCGTGAAAGGCTCTTCAAAACAGCGACCACCAGGGCCACCAGGATGGCCAATTGTTGGCAACATGTTCGATCTTGGAACCATGCCACACCAGACCTTCTACAAGTTAAGGGCCAAGTATGGACCTGTTCTCTGGCTAAAGCTTGGTTTAGTAGACACTATGGTCATACAATCTGCCAAGGCTGCTGCTGAATTATTCAAGAACCATGACCTTCCTTTCTCCGACCGCAAAGTTCCCGAGGCAATCACGGCCTTAGGCTACAACCAAGGATCATTGGCTTTTGCCAGACATGGCCCGGACTGGCGCATACTACGACGACTCTGCTCCATGGAGCTCTTGGTTAACAAAAGACTCCACGAGTCGGCTCCCATCAGGCAAAAGTGCATCGACAAGATGATCGAGTGGATAGAGGAGGATTCATCATCATCATGTGCCCGGGGTGGATCTGGTGGTGTGGAACTAGTTAGGTTCCTTCACATCATGGCTTTCAACCTTGTTGGGAACCTCATGTTGTCAAGAGATCTCTTGGACATGCAGTCTGAGGCAGGGCACGTGTTTTTCGAAGCCATGAACATGCTCATGCAATGGGCTGGAAAACCTAATGTGGCAGATTTTGTCCCCTTCTTGAAATGGCTCGACCCACTAGGGATCAAGAGGAATATGGCCCGCCATATGGGACGATGCATGAAGGTTGTTGCTGGATTTATCGATGAGAGGGTTCATGAGAAGCAATCAGGAAGAGAGAAGGTAAAAAAAGACTTCCTGAATGCATTGCTAGAGTATGAAGGTACTGGAAAAGAAGGGCCTGACAAAATTTCAAAGAAGAACATGAACATCATAATCCTGGTAATACAATGCTAACGCTCTATTGTTGTTAGTAACTCTTACCGAAAGTTACTATTTCTTTAGGACAAGTAACAGGTTTTAAAAAATAAAATTTTAACTGCTTGAGGTGATTGAGATGTAGTGATCAATCTTGAATAATTTTTAATCAGTTGAAACTTCACGTTTTAAAGATGTAACTTGATCTTTAATAATTGTAACTATACTTTAAAAAAAAACAAATTTTATGATCGATCATTCATTTTACAGTTGTAACATCTACCTCAAAACCTTGTAACTTGTTCCTTAAAATTTTGGTATGGTTACGAAGTTGTCTTACTCGTTTGGATAACATATAACTAAAGTTTTAATAGTACAGGAAATGTTTTTTGCTGGATCAGAAACTACAAGCAGCACTATTGAATGGGCAATGACAGAGCTATTACACAGACCTGACTCAATGAGGAAGGTTAAGGAAGAGCTTGATCGAGTCATAGGACCTAACAGGAAGGTAAAAGAGAGTGACATGGATAGGTTGCCATATTTGCAGGCAGTTGTGAAAGAGACCCTCCGATTGCATCCCTCTGTTCCTTTACTGCTTGCACGGAACACAATGCAAGACACAAACTACATGGGTTATCTCATACCCAAAAACACACAAGTGTACGTAAGTGCATGGGCAATTGGAAGAGACCCTGATGCTTGGGATGACCCTTTGAATTTCAAGCCTGATAGGTTTTTAGGCTCTGATATTGAGTACAAGGGGCAACATTTTGAGTTGATTCCATTTGGATCTGGAAGACGAATTTGTGTAGGCTTTTTCTTGGCTTATAGAGTGCTTAACCTTGCTCTAGCCACCTTGCTACAGTCTTTTGACTGGGACCTTGATAGCCATATGACACCAGAAACTATGGACATGAAGGAGAGGATGGGAATAAGTCTGAGGAAACTAGTTCCCTTGAAAGCAATACCCAAAAAACGAGTCGTGTGAAGATGAAATGATTGCAGGCAGTCGGCAATGTGCTCAAACTCTTGCTGGATAAAAAAAAAACCTGTGGCCATGAATAAGTGTTGTTTGGTGTGTTCTCCTGATTATCGTTGTCTTTGTGTAAAATAGTATGATAGTAGCAAGCTTTGTATGTGATTGGTGTCCATCTTCTCAAGCATTTCTTCTTAGTTTTCTATGTATTTCGTATAAACCGATGTTCCTTTGTGCAATTTGAACTTTCTTTAACCTAAATAACTATATTTGTTGTCTAAAATGCCACACTTGAAATATTCTACTTTAGACCTTGCATGAAGGTATTGTAAATTTTGGCATGCGTTCAAGGTCTGTTTCAAATGTAATAGTTATTGAATTATGTGAAAGACATGATAATATCTTTAATGAAACTTTTATTCTTTTAAGAGAAGGCACCGATATCCTAGTAAGCGTCATTTGTTTGTTGCCAAAAATAGTTTGTCTGTTTTTGTAGTTCCCTTTCTTATACGTCTCAAAAGACCGAAAAATTAGTTAGTCAAATCTGATACATTTATCACAATGATCATTGCCCATAAAAAAAGAAATAAGAACGAAAACCAGCCCTTATTTTCAACTATCCGGATATTTACTTATCGAATGATTAAAACATTATACGAATATCTCAAACGTTAGTGTGCGTGTTTGAGTGTAATCAATTTCTTTGACACCATAATTTTTTAAAAAAATTATCAAAATATATTGATTTCAAACTTGTTTTTCAATCTAGCATCATTTGTATGAAACAGTGGTTTCCATTCACTCTTTGTAATATAAACGCACTTTTAAATTTTTTCTATTAAAATCGTGGGCAAAAAACACGTTCTAACATTGAAAAGTGTAGATTATAACCTTCCTTTCATACAAATAATAGAGGATTAAAAAATAAGTAAAATCATGAATTTTAAAAAAAAAAAAAAAGTTAAGATATCAGGGTAAGATGGTAGAAAATTCCATTTTTGTCTGAGAGCAGCCGATTTAGACAAAAAAATAAACGTCAGGTCTTCAACCACTCTCGTCTTAATGCATACTGGCTACATATATAGTCGTAAATGGATTTTAGATTAGTAAGACAGTGCCCACTTTTCCCACAAGACAACGACTCAAAACACATTTGCTATTCTACGTGTTAGTATCTCTAGAAATAATGGTGTCCCAATTTAGGATTTTGGAGTATTATTTTTGAAATAATGCATTAGTACGATACAAATCCAAAAATTACACTATCAATTAACAGGAATGATAAATAAATAGAATTAGTATCTAGCATAAATAACCCGTTTTTAATACGACAAATTTGATCTAATATTTTCCTATCTTATCTAGTACTATATGAGTTGTTCTAGAACTATATGATTTTTTTCCATTTTATTGGATAAAAAACTACTAAGTAGCACGACTGAATGAGTGACGAGAAAGGCTAAAGAAGAGCTTAATTGAATTGTAAGAACTAAAATGTGAAAATTGGTGACTTATTGAAAAACTAGCAATAACATCATGTTTGAAGACATTATACAATATTAAAAATCGAGTTGATTTTGAAATATTTGTATTTGAAATAATAATTTAATTTTTTTAATTACTTAAGTTAAAATTAAAATGAAGAGAGAGTAGGTGTGAATTGATGTAATTGTTTAATATTGAGGAGTCTGTTAATTGAGCTGTCTGAAATTGGTGGTCATGTACAAAGATTAACTGTGTCAGCGTTGACATTGGTGTAACGATTATACTATGTCAGCGTTGGCAAAACTATGTGATGTTACCATCTAATACAAAACTTAGAAAATGAATAAAGTAAACCTCTCTTTTCACACAGAGTGGTGCACATTATATGAATGGGAGGTTATTGAAATTAGTGGACAATTACACCATATAACACTTATGTCGTGATATAATCATTACGTGACATTTGAATACTATACCAAAGGGGTTTGTATTTTAACCATAGCCGGTTTGTGTGGTAAAAAAAATAGATCCATCAATGACTTGTCAAACAAATGAGTCAATAAACTTGACTAAACACGATTATAAGTGACATGAAATTCATAAAGCGAATTAAACAATACACAAATATTAATAAATTAGATAGATATTGAACAAATTTGGACAAGGCTCAACTTAGACGGTTTGAAAGCATGATACAACACAAGATATGTTGACGATCCTAAAATAGTGGTCATTGAACGGGTCAAGATCTATGTTAATATATTCTTCTTTCAATTATATCAATGTTATATTAATTATAGAATATATCGTTCCGCACGCTTCATCAATACATAATCTAATAGGACTATTGGTCAAATTTATCATTTCACTTTAAATTTCTAAAACGAGTGGAGAATGAGTTCTTTTAGCTGTGTTATTTGTATGAAAACACAGCTATAATCTGCACTTTTCAAGGTAAGAACGTGTTTTTTGCCCACGATTTTAATTGAAAAAAAATTAAAAGTGCGTTTATATTACAAAGAGTGAATGGAAACCACTGTTTCATACAAATGATGCTAGATTGAAAAACAAGTTTGAAATCAATATATTTGGAAATTGATTACACTATAATTTTTATACATGGTAGTTTAGAACTACCATAAAAGAAAAAAGAAAAAAAAAAAAAGAAGCAAAAATTGGATTTGAGTCTTCCTTAAGAAACTTGTAATGAGTTTAGTCTGTCAAGGAAAACCTTCTAATGACTTAAAAACAGTCTTCAATATTAAATCAATTTTCTAAACAGTTATCCATTGATTCATGCTTAATGGAAGATTTTGTTGATTTTTTCTACAAAATCTGAAATTCAAATTTACCCCTTAATTCAATGTTAATAGAGATATGCAATAAAATCTTTATCATAAATTTGAAATTCAAATCCCAGTTAAGCTATTCTCTCTCCTCTTCGTTCTCACTGGCAGATATTCATGCTCTCCAGAGCAATAGCAGCATGATGCTCTCTTCGCTGCCATGGACGGACCAATAGCAGCCTCATGATCTCTTCGCTGCCATGGATAGAGCAGTAGCAGCATCAACCCAACAGCCGAGGTCGGGGAAGACTTTGAAAGACGGACCAAAGAAATAAGAAATGCAATGCTATGTAATTCAAATATACATCCCAAATACAGGGGATTATTGGATCAGTGAGTCTCATTTAAAAAAGTTGATGGAACTCACTCATTCAACGGTCCCCTTAATTTGCGATACAAATTTGAATTGTAAATTTGGGATTCATAGTATTTCTCAAATAAGAATAGAAGCAATGGTAATTGAAAATTCCTGGAAAATTCCTGGTTATTTATTGTAGAATCAATAGTATGCTACCTTTTAGAGATAGATATTTGATCGTAACAGGTAATTTCTTCGAGGTCTACAGTGTTGTTATTTTTTGTTAATATTGAATATTATTATTTTTTGTTTTGATTGTTACTATTTTTTGTTTTATTTTTTTAAATATTCATATTCAATGTTACTATTTTTTGTTTTTTTTGTTGTGAATGTTACTATTTTTTGGTAAGTATATTACTGTTTTCTTGCCTATTCATCAGCAATTGCCTATGTTACTAAGCGTTCTTTAGTTATTATTCAATTTGACTAATTTTTTTTAGAATATTAGTATCGAATGCTATTTGTTTTTGAAATGCTATTATTGGATATTAATATTTTTTGTGTTTTGAATCGCACTATTTTTTCTTTTAAATATTAATATTTTTGTGTTTGAATGTTATTATTTATCTCATATATATGTGTGTGTGTGTGAGAGAGTGAGAGAGAGAGAGAGAGAAATATTTGAAAAAATTTCATCCACACCCCTAGTAGTTAAGTTTAAATTTAATGATACTCCCTCCCGATTCTGAAATTTCACTGCACACCCTTCTGGTTTATACTTTTAAATCAATAACACCCCCTTAATGGTAACTTTTGCCTCTACGAGTTGGTAAAGTAATGATTTAACTAAATATTTTGTGAAAATGTCAAAATTACCTTTTTGTTATATAAATAGACTAAAATACCCACAATCATTTTCTCATTATATATGTCCTAGCCAGTTATAAAGCATAATTTCTATTATTATATTATTCCAATAAATTTTTATCATTTAAAACGTTGCATGATAATTTTTTTATAATATTAGTAATTATGTTATCACTCATTTGGTTACATAACCCAGTTTTTATAATTTTTATAGTTAAAAACGATTTTTCTATAATAAAAATTACTATTGATAAAGTCAATGTCAAAATTTCATCAATTTCTAATTCATATGTTATCGTATGTCCTCCACGTGTCACACAACCACTCTTCACACATCACCTTTTATATATTAAATTTAAATATTATTTGATAAAATTTAATATTAATTGAATAAATTTGGTTTTAATTTGATAAATTTAAATATTGATTTAGATATTAATATTAGTCCAACTCCTAAAATTTAAGAGTTGGTAATTTTCAAATTAAATATAACTATTAGTGGTATTTTGGACAATAAAAATAAAAATAAACTTATTTCAAAATAAGTTTTTCTGAGTTGACTTAAATCTAAATAAGGCCATAGAGGACCGACTTCTAAATTTTTCTAATTTAATATACAATACAATTGAGGGAAAAAGAAACCTATATTTATGTGAATCGAGATCCCATCACGAAATTTTCTGCTCAATTAATACTGCTAGTTGATTTTGTGGTCCTCCTCATGCATAAAGAATGTTTTGCTCAATTAACTTATTTATTTGGCGAGTTGTTGATGGATCTATTTTTTTATCACACAAACTGCTATGGTTTAAACACACTCAAACTCCATTGGTTCTATCACAATTTTGGCATTGTTTTCAAATGTAATGTAACAATTACACAATGTTAGCAATGTCAATATGGTATAATTGTTCCATTATAAGTGCATAAATAGATAAGTAAACCCCACAAATTTCAATAACCACTCATTCGTATAATGTGCACCACTCCATGTGAAAAGAGGCTTACTTTATTCATTTTTTAGGTTTTTTATTAGATGGTGACATCACGTAACACTTTTAATGCTGAAATGGTAGAATTGTTACATGCAATATTTGCTCCAAAAATTGATACGTCTGCACATTTTTTGCATTTTACCTTGACAAAAATGACATGGTGACATTCAAGTTACAAAATAACACATAAGAGAGTTCAAACTCAGAAATGGAGTGGATGTCTAGTGTGCTTACCTGGCTGAGTGTTTCTTTCTTAGCTTCTCTTCTTCTATTATTCACGTGGACTAAGGCCGCGAAAGGCTCTTCAAAACAGCGACCACCAGGGCCACCAGGATGGCCAATTGTTGGCAACATGTTCGATCTAGGAACCATGCCACACCAGACCTTCTACAAATTAAGGGCCAAGTATGGACCTGTTCTCTGGCTAAAGCTTGGTTTAGTAGACACTATGGTCATACAATCTGCCAAGGCTGCTGCTGAGTTATTCAAGAACAATGACCTTCCTTTCTCGGACCGCAAAGTTCCCAAGGCACTCACAGCCTTAGGCTACAACCAAGGATCATTGGCTATGGCCCAGACTGTCGCATACTACGACGACTCTGCTCCATGGAGCTCTTGGTTAACAAAAGACTCCACGAGTCGGCTCCGATCAGGCAAAAGTGCATTGACAAGATGGTCGAGTGGATAGAGGAGGATTCAGCATCGTCGAGTGTCCAGGGTGGATCGGGTGGTGTGGAACTAGTTAGGTTCCTTCACATCATGTCTTTCAACCTTGTTGGGAACCTTATGTTGTCAAGAGATCTCTTGGACATGCAGTCTGTGGCAGGGCACGAGTTTTTCGAAGCCATGAACATGTTCATGCAATGGGCTGGGAAACCTAATGTGGCAGATTTTTTCCCCTTCTTGAAATGGCTCGACCCACTAGGGATCAAGAGGAATATGATCCGCTATATGGGAGGATGCATGAAGGTTGTCGCTGGATTTGTTGGTGAGAGGGTTCATGAGAAGGAATCAAGAAGAGAGAAGGTAAAAAAAGACTTCTAGGACGCATTGTTAGAGTATGAAGGTGATGGAAAAGAATGGGCCTGACAAAATTTCAAAGAAGAACATGAACATCATAATCCTGATAATACAATGCTAACGCCCTTCTGTTGTTAATAATTTTTACCGAAAGTTACTATTTTTTGAGGATAAGTTATACATCTTAAAAATAAAATTCCAACTACATGAAGTGATTCATGATGGATCATGAAGAGTTTTTAATCAATTGAAACTTCACGTTTTAAATGTGTAACTATATCTTTAAAACGAACAAAGTATTACTTGCCTGGATGGGATCAATGGGTGATCAAGAAGGACCGTGGCCTAGGTTGGTGACTTCCATTGCACTCGGGAGGGGTGTCTTCCTAAGGTCTATCCAAGTGGTGGAGCCTATGTCATAATTTATCAAAGTGGGGGCCTGCGTTCGCGCGACCCTGTTTTATATATATAAGATGCAATTTTCAAATCGATCATTTAACTAAAGTTCTAATGGTACAGGAAATGTTTTTTGCTGGATCAGAAACTACAAGCAGCACTATTGAATGGGCAATGGCAGAGCTATTACACAGACCTGACTCAATGAGTAAGGTTAAGGAAGAGCTTGATCGAGTCATAGGACCTCACAAGAAGGTCAAAGAGAGTAACATGGTTGGATTGCCATATTTGCAGGCAGTTGTGAAAGAGACCCTTCGATTGCATCCTTCTGTTCCTTTAATGCTTCCACGGAACACAATGCAAGACACAAACTACATGGGCTATCTCATACCCAAAAGCACACAAGTGTACGTAAGTGCATGGGCAATTGGAAGAGACCCTGATGCTTGGGATGACCCTTTGAATTTCAAACCTGAGAGGTTTTTAGGCTCTGATATTGAGTACAAGGGGCAGCACTTTGAGTTGATTCCATTTGGCTCTGGAAGACGAATTTGTGCAGGCTTTTTCCTGGCTTATAGAGTGCTTAACCTTGCTCTAGCCGCCTTGCTTCAGTCTTTTGACTGGGACCTTGATGGCCATCTGACACCAGAAACTATGGACATGAAGGAGAGGATGGGAATAAGTCTGAGGAAACTAGTTCCCTTGAAAGTAATACCCAAAAAACCAGTGGTATGATGATGAAATGATTGCAGGCAATTGGAAATGTGCTCAAACTCTTGCTGGATAAAAAAAATAAAAAACCCAAAAATCCCGTGTATGCTAAACACATAGCTCCACTGACAAGCTGAAATTGTCTGTTAATGTCGTAAGAAAATGAAAGCATGTTAACTAATCAAACTGAAGTCATTTGTACTTTCTCCTACTTGAAAAATGCAGGGGTGGTAGTTATGCTGAATTTCTAGTTATTCGCAGTAGTCTCTAGCGGCAGAGATTTTTCACCTTCCTTGGGGATAGTAGTTCTTTCTGAAAACTTTCCCATAATCTGTTTGGAACCAAAAAAACTCGTCAGTCTCAAAAGTATCCACATCCACTATGGTAATTATTTTTTTCATTTTGTAGCTGAATAACTTCATAAATTAGACAAGGTATTTTGTTAACTACATTTGCACCAAGTAGCAGAAGCTGTTGATCATGTGCTTACCTTCTGAAAAGTTGCTTTCAAGCAAGCCTTGTGTTCTTCCATAGGAGAGTGGATTAACTCATGAAGGTGATGCCTCAAATTGGAGACAAAGATATCATTATCAGACTTATTCCTTTGACAATAAGTGACAGTTGGAGTTGGTGCAGACTCAGTAAGGCTTTTTTCAGCATCCAATCTTTCTATAACCTTGCAGAGAGGCATTATTTAGTTTCTTCCCAACAAAAAAAATTGAAAAATGCAGAAGAGTAACATAAAACTGTATCCAGGCCCCAAAAAAACAAACTACCATTGTGACATTGTCCATTTATATGGACTCATGACTCACAAAAAATTATGCTACTAAAACTTCTTTTCAAAAATTTAGATATTATTGGTGCAATGTGGAGGGTCATGATTACAACCATACCGTCCCGAGGGAAATAATTCATATTGTCTAATAAACCATTCAAATCAAATTCACTCATGAAATCATAGACCCTTCTACCTCATTATTGTACTTGCAAAAACAATTAAAACCATGTATGCTAACCAGAGAGCTCAACATACAAACTGCAATTGTCTGTCAAAATCATAAAGAAGAAGAAAGCCTGTTAACTAATCAAACTAAACTCATTTGTACTCTCACTTAATTGAAAAATGCATGAATTGGACTTATACTGAATTTCTAGTTCTTCGCAGTTGTATCAAGGGGCAAAGAATTTTCACCTTCTTTGGGGCCAGTAGTTCTTTTTGAGAACTTTCCCATTATCTGTTTGACTAGAAATATTTGTGAGTAAAATGAGATATAAACTAAATGTAGAACCTCCGTATATATAGCCAATAAAAATTACAATAAGGATAAAAAGATAAAAAGGTAAAAAAGAAAAAACTTAATAAACCCTAATAAACTAAGATGTTATATCTCCAACACTCCCCCTCAAGCTAGGCGCAAAAATGTCAACTAAGCCAAACTTGACAATTGAGTCCCGAAGAATGGATAGAGAGACAGGTTTGGTGAAAACATTTGTAACCTGATCACTAGTCCCCACAAACGATAGAGTGACAATACCACTATTAACCTTCTCCCAAAAAAAGAAAACATTGATCTCTATATGCTTCGTCCTCTCGTGTAATACAGAGTCAGAAACGAGCTGAATAACAGATCGATTATCACAATATAATATAGATGAAAAAGTCACTGAAAATCCCAACTTGTCAAGAATCGATCGTAGCCAGATAATCTCACATGTGCCAAGTGCTAGTGTCTGATACTCTGTCTCTGCTGACAAGCGAGAGACAACTGACTGCTTCTTGCTCTCCCAAGAGATAAGATGAATCCCTCGAAAAGCACAGAAGCCCGTAGTAGATCACCGTCACATGTTCCCCCATAATCTAAATCTAAATAACAAGCTAGAGAACCAATCTGAGATCCAGATGCATAGAACAACCCAAGTCCATAACAAGACTTGAGGTAACGAAGAATATGATAAACTGCATCACGATGAGGGCTGACATGATCTGTGCATGAACTGACTAACTCGGCTTACAGTGAATGAAATGTCTGGCCTAGTGTTAACTAGGTAGATAAGTCTACCTACCAACCTCTGATAGACTATCAAATCTCTCAACTCCTCATCTTCAGCAGTAAGCTTCAGATTTTGAATCATGGGTGATGATACCGGTTTGCACCCCAGCATCCCAATGTATGAGAGAAGATCTAGAACATACTTTCTCTTAAGAAAGGAACAATACCTATGCTGCTATGAG